TTATTGTTGTCGTTGGTGGTAGCGGTGGTGATTTGTGTTGTACATTGGTTGCTGGACTGTTCTTGTCTCAACCCATGGGAGTTGCACTCTTTCGATCCTCCTCCCCGTTCCTCCAGGTGCTCTCAGCCTGGCACCACTCACTGGGAGTGAGTGAACAGGCTGTCTGGCTAGGGTTTAAACCACGACAATTCCCTAGGAAGTAGTACATGGGAGCGTGTAGGACAGGGTCAATGGCTGCGATCACAACAGTTAGAGAGTTCCCTATCAAGATGGCCAGGGACATGGTGGAAATCAGTGTGAAAAATAGGAGCTGCATCTTGCCATGGAAGGAAAACCCCAAAAGTAAGAAGTGAGTAGTGACCGTTTGGTTTCCTGTCTTCATGTCCTCAACAGGTCCCATCCTAAAAGAGAAAAAAAACCAACAGCCCTATAATACAAAAAAAAATAGTAGCCTGGGACAGACCTGCAGTCTCAGAAATAGCTACAGTAGCAAGTAAAATGGGGTTTAAGCCATGAGGTGAAATTTGTATTGCATATGACAGTGACCACAGTGTAAAAGGTCCCAGCTGGGGAACCCATACAAGTTCATTTTTAGCAGTCAGAGGCTGCGGGATTCATCTTCTCTAAATTAGGTGAACAGAAGATAGACATACATATTGCAAAAGGGCAACCCAAACATAAAAAAGTTTGAGTTAATAAAAGTGTTCACGCACTTGTTTGTTTCATCAAACCATATAAAATCCATATTCTGAGTTTTCATTTAAGAAGAGCTCTGGGGAGTAAAAAGATTCTCAGCATACAAACAGCTGACCATATACAGTGGTTACTAACATTTACAACTTGCTGCCTATTTCCATGAATTTATCTTCTCATCAGGTGTGCTAACAAAATTATTTGACAGGAAACTTCTGGGACTGTTGCAGCCAAAACATACTTGGCTGATCCTTAAAAGACACAGAAACAGAATCATGGATTTATTTTTTTTTTCTGCCTTTACTGTATCACTAATATATATGTATATATCATATGTTGAATGATCTTTTTTTGTCCATGATCTGTATAACTATGCAGTATATTTTAGGATATTTTAAGCAGTTTCCTTTCACATGTTCAGAGCTGTATGTGTGAAATAAGTAACAGTAATAATAGGATATTCTCTCATTCTTTTTCTTACCTAGTTTACTATAGAAATACTAATACTATAGAAAAATGGAATTTGACATAAGCTGGTTTCCCATTAGCAGAAGAGACTTTCAAAAGATCATAAAAAATACTTGAGTAGCAATGGTGTTATGGATATAGAGCACTGTAACATGATAACTTTGAGTGGTTGGGGGCGGGGGAGTTACTGCTTTTGTCCACTTCATACTGAAAATTGTAGATTTGTTTTGGTAGCTGTCTAGCTGGACATCTGAAGCACTCTCCATGATATCATGGTGACTCAGTGTAAGACATCATAGGTGAAAAATCAGGTGATGTGAACTAAAGACTGCAGTATTTAACACTTAATCAACTCCAGCAAAGTCTAGGCTTGTATCCTGAAAAAACTGGAAAGACAAGTCAAACATGGAACAAGAATAAAGCTGTTGTACCAGTGCATCACAGCTGGGAAACACCACAGAAGAGCCATTAATATTCTCCTGTTGCAAGAGGTTTAACTTGAGCCCTGACTCCTTGACTGTACTCCATGCAGATTTTATTCTGCTTCTGGTCTTCCATGAGTGACGTGGTTTTCTCGTTTCTGTGTGTTTTCTCACCTGTGTGAATGCAAATATCTTTAGCCATGTGCAGGGGCCTGGCTTTGGCTGACTGACATGCTCCCTCTCCACCGCTTTCTCACTCACCCTCCTCAACAGGACAGGACAGGGAGAGAAAACAGATAAAACAGCTTGTGGGTCAGGGAGATCAATTACCAATTACCATCACAGGCAAAACAGATTGACTTGGGGGAAATCAGTCACTCAATTAATTTCCCAAAGGAAATTTACTTAAAGAATTGGCTGGATTGTTGCACTCAAAGAGTTATGGTCAAAAGCTTTATGTTCAAGTGACGACTGGGATTTCTTGGTATTGGACCCGGAGCTGTTTAACATTTCTGTCAGTGACATGGACATTGGGATCAAGTGCATGCTCGCCAGTTTTGCTGATGACAGCAGGTTTTGAGGTACAGTCAAATTGGCTGGATTGTCACACTCAAAGAGTTGTGGTCAACAACTTGATGTTCAAGTGGAGACCAGTGACAAGTGTTGGGAACAATATCACGCACAAACACAGGCTGGAATAAGAGCAGCCCTGAGGACAAGGACTTGGGAGTGACTGTTGACAAAAAGCTCACCATGACTCAGCAGTGTGTGCTTCAGCCCAGAAACCAACTGATGCAGTCCTGGGCTGCATCACCAGCCATGCCACACTTCTTTTGGGGAACAGTCCCCTTTCAGGACTGAGTCAGACAGAAGTGTCTCTGATAGGTCAGTGTCTGCAGCTGTGTGGCTGGACATATCTATGTTCAGCTCATGCTCTCACAGCTCCCACTTGTGATGCTAATAGGCGTGGCAAGGCTTGCTTCTGCCCTAATAAATACACAAGTTATCTTATTTTAACAGTAATCAATACCCTAAAATGAATTTTGCTGTACTCTAGGTCTGCATTTCTATAACTTTGTTGTTGCAGTTCTAACTCCTTTGTCAAAAAAAAACCCAAACAAAAAAAAAAACCCACAATCCCAAACCTCTAGTTTCATTTCATATTGAGATGATTTTGGTTTCTTTCACAACAGCTGTCAACAGTTGAATCATCATCCTCCACTGAGCCTCAAGGGCTCCTAGTCTCTGCTTGCCTTTTTAGAGCATGGTGACTCTAGAGTGTGTGGTGCATGTGTGTGCATGTGTGCTCGTTGGTGGGGTTTTTCTGATTGCCTACACAGTTATATTCCCTAAAGCATCTGTCTGGCAGTATGCATGATGAAAGTGCATGAGATAATTAAGAATTATTACTTTTCAAATATTGTGGTCTGCCTGAGCATGCAGAGATGCAGTTCTGAAAGACAAAACTGAAATGGAATTGAATCTGCCCAGGGACGTCAAAGACAGCAAGAAGGACTTCTGTAAGTACATAGAGGGCAGGGGGGCCCAAGACTCTTGGTTGATATTCAAGGATCACCTGCTACAAGCTCAGGCGTGCTGTGTCCCAACTAGGAGGAAGCGCTGCAGGAGGGCCAGGAGACCTCCTTGGATGGATAAGGAGCTGCTGAGGAAATTCAGAGGGAAAAAAGAGGCTTATAAAAGGTGGAAGCAAGGACAGGCGGCCTGAGAAGAATGCATGGATGTTGTCTTTTTTTTTCTTCTGTTTTGCAGGTGGCTCACCCATGCAGTACATTTAAGGAACACTTTGTTCATTGCTCTGCAACTCACCATTGAATCACAAATCTCGTCTCAGAAGACTTGCCAAAGCAGCAGGCAATTTACTTCCTGTGTGATGTTGTCAATATTTTGCACATTCTAGACACGGCAAAAAGACTTTCCCTCCCCATCTCTAACTAGGTCATGAGAGACTTCTGGTGCAATTTGCAAAGCTTCCTCCTTGCATCCTACCTGAATAACTACAAGCCTCTGGGAACTTGCAGTAGTCCTTCTCATCACACCTGCAGTATTAATCTCTGAGCTAGAAGAATGCCAAGTCAATATGGACAAATAAAAGGAGAACCCAAATTCTGTCTTATAACCCCAGAAATTAAGTTGTTCTGTCCTCTGCTTTGCCTTCTGGCTCATTATCTGCCCCGGTCTTCCTACAGTGAAAAAATGCTGATTGCTGATGAGGTGAGCTTTGTGCAGAATTACCCTTTTTCACGATGGAATTTCTGTAGTTGGAAAGATAGGTATGCTTCTGCATGCAAAACCTTTTTTTTTTTTTTTTTTGCATTAGTCTTTAAGTAAGAGTCTTAAAATTAGAATTGTACCTAGATCTCTTCAAACACAGATGTCTGACTAAAATTTTCCTAAGTCTATAATATTATCAAATCTAATCTTTCCACCAGAGCTTGTTCAGAGATCAGACTAAAAGTATTTTCAGAGAATGTGATCAGGTTTTTAGAGTGAACACGTATGTGCCTAAATTACCTTAAGGCTACATGCTGATGTTCTTTTATTATGAAATCAGTTGAAAAGTTTTCTGCTTGCTTGCTGTTTTCATGCTGAAATAATAAGCTGAAGAAGTAAGAGAAAAAGAGTGACAGGGCTGGAGATACAGCATAATGACTTCCAAAAATCATCTATTTTCAATGAAAGTATGCAGTACAATGGAACGGGCAAGAAAGATCATCTATATGTGTTTAACAACTTTACAGGAAATATCTAGGAAGCAATTTTTTTTTTTTCATTTGTTATATTCATCAGTATTAATCATCACTGCATTGAATGTACAGCAAAAACTACTTGGAGCACCTTCTGGCGCTGTTGATAAAAAGAATGGAAATTGTGCAATTGTTAAAAGCAAAAAACTGTCTGTGAGAGGTGCTAACCATTACAAATGTGAAAGTTGAGATTGGCATAATGAAATGTCGGCACACCAGTAGAAAGAAAGCATCAGGACTGATTCACATCATGAGTTAGAAGCGCTAGGATGAGATCAAAGTTTGCAGCAGAAAGTTCCAGTTTAGCAGAATTGAAATACGAACGCGTCTGAAGGTGAACAAACAGCAATGTTTTGCATCTTACATATTCTGCTGTGACGCATAGGTGGAAGTTTTTATATTAATATTTTACCTTCTGTAATATTCTACCCTCTTCTAACAGAAAGTAGAAGACTACATTGAAGTTCCTCTGTCCGTGTTACTGTCTTGACTTTCAATGCTGCTTTTATGTTTGATTACATGTGCTGTGTTTTGCTCTCTTGTGCATTTGTTTGCATTAAAATAGTGCAGAAGCCAGTGAGTTTTGTAATACTGTTACTCTTCACAACTGTGGAACCCTGACATTTTGCCTTTGCTTCTTATTGTTCTAGCAATGCTGAACCAAACAGCAGTCAGTGAGTTCATCCTTTTGGGCCCCACCGACATGCAGGGGCTGCAGCACTTTTTCTTCATCTCTTTTCTGTTGCTCTACTTTACCAGTCTTCTGGGAAATGGTGCCATTGTGGCCATCGTGATATCTGAGCCCCGGCTCTAGACACACTGATGTACTTCTTTCTGGGGAACCTGTCCTGCCTGGACATTTTCTGCTCCGCAGTCACTGCTCCCAAGATGTTGACAGGCTTTCTCTTTGGGCATCAACCCATCTCCTTCAGTGCGTGCTTCGCCCAGCTCCACCTCTTCCACTTCCTGGGCAGTACCAAGGCTGTGCTCCTGGCCGCCATGGCCTATGACCACTACGTGGCAATTTGCAACCCTTTGCGCTACGTCCTTGTCATGAGTCCACGGACTTGTCTGCTGCTGGCTCTGGCCAGCTGGTCCCCTGCCTTTGTACATGCCACAATGCACTCAGTCATGACCTCTCAACTGAGTTTCTGTGACCGCAACCACATCCATCACTTCTGCTGTGACATTAAGCCACTGTTGAATTTGGCCTGCGGTAGTACCAGCCTCAACATGACCCTCCTCAGTGCTGTCACCACATCTATTGTCCTAGTCTCCATCACTCTCATAGTCCTCTCCCATCTCTATATTACCTCCTTCCTCTTCTGTAATGTCCAGTCCCAGGAAGGAAGATGGAAGCCCTTCTCCACCTGCATCTCCCACCTCATCATTGTGGCACTGCTATACATACCAGTGCCCTTCAATTATGCACCACCTTCCTCAGTAAGCTCCCCTGGAATGGATGTGCAAGTGTCTCTCATGTACAGTGCTGTCACCCCAGCTCTGAACCCCTTGATATACACCCTTAGCAATCAGGAGGTGAGATCTGCCCTGAAAAAAATGTTAGGGAGACAACCCTTTCCCAGAGGAAAGTGACAAAAACAAGGAGAAGATGCGGGATGTCATGACTCCACCTCTCATATTTGTAATGAAAGAGGTCAAAAGGACACTGTATTGCAAGACTCTGAAAAACTACTGATTATCTCACGTAGTTCACTGCACTTAGAAATGCACAGATCTAAATCAGGGGAGTTATTCACAGATTTAATGCTTTTTCCATCATTTTTAGACGTCTCATCGTGCCCCATGTGGTCTCTGGCTTCCAATACAGAAACGTGTGTCTACTGCAAGATTTGAGGCACAGCTGACAGCACCATGGAGTTTTCCTGGATGATCTAAACTGTCACATGATTACTTGATGGCTACGTAGTCTCTCCCACTAGAGCATTAAACGAATCCGGGGCTGGGGCGGGGGGCAAACTATCCCGGAGGGCACAAGAAACTGACCTCAGAATGGGATCCAAACATCTCAGAAGTGGGAGGACAAACCACACTGGCCCCAGAAGAGGGTCCAGAGGGAGACCAAATAAAAGAAGAGAGTCCCGGTTCAAAAGTGATCCACCTGACAGAGTTTGGGGCGAGCCAGGTCAAAAGTTTTGTACAAACAAAGTTAATGGAGAGCTCAAACTGCTCGGGGAAAAGGACAACTATGTGGAGAGCACAGGTAGGAGGAAGGGAAAGAGGTGTGAGAACAAGTGCAGGTGCTGGCAGTGCCGCAGAGCATCAGGCTGGGCTGTGGAAGGTCTAAGAAAAGGTTGCCGGTGGAGCAGAGTGGCGCAGCGGAAGCGTGCTGGGCCCATAACCCAGAGGTCGATGGATCGAAACCATCCTCTGCTAATTGGTGATTTGCTTTTGGTTGGGTTTTTTTTTGTTGGTTTTTTTTTTTTCTTCTCACTCCAGAGGCAGGGGACACCACCACCTTGATGCCTTCAGCAAGGTTCCGCACACTGCTGCGCTCCTGCTCTCTGCGCACCCATGGCCCTGGCTCTCCCTCAGCTCCTTCCCCCCACAAGGCAGTGGGTGTCCTGGGGACGTCGGTGTTTCTGCCTTCCCATCAGGCAGCTCAATCCCAACTTCCCAGCCACGAGCACGGACACCCAGGCTCCAGGGACGGAGCAGGACAAGCCTGGTGCTAGTCTGGAGAGCACCAAGGTCGTCGGCTCAACCACCTGGGGGCTTTCTCTGTCCTGGTCTGTTTCTGCCATGGCCAGTAGTGTGTTCAGTCAGGAACAGGGCCAAGGAACCATGCCCAATGGGCATTGTATTGGCTATATGTGGCTAGGTGTTGGGTAGTTTAGGGCAAAAGGGGTGCTCCAGGTGGTCTCTGTGAGAGGAGCTAAGGGGCTGCCCTGCATCGCACACAGGTGATTCCATCTCCACAGTAGACCCATTTCAGGACACAGCTGTGCCATCAGCCAAATTTGTAACCTCCCTGTGAAAACATATTCCAGAAAGGGTAAAACATGTGAGACAGAGAGAGGAGAAAGTGAGAGGTTCAGAAAGGGCAGAAGGAGAATGCATTCCCCCTGTGCCACTTGGTTAGAGGAGTCTGGAGTGAAGTTCAGCCTGGGTAAGTGGGAGGAAAGCTGGTGTTTTATGTTTGTCCTTTTGTTTCTTGCTATATGAATCTATTTCATTTGGCAAAAAGCTAATTCACCCCATGCTGAGTCTGTTTTGCCCACAATAGTGTTTTCCATGGTCCTGTATTTATCTTGACCTGGAAGCTTTCTCATCCTATTTTCTATGCCTGCCATCCCACTGAAGATAGGGAAAAGAGTGACCATAGAAGGGGTATTCTATACCATAGAACATCATACTCGGTATATAAACTGGGGGGAGCTACCTGGAAGGGACCCATGACTGCTTGTGTCGGTGAGCAATTGTATTGTGCATTACTTGTGTTCATTGTTTTATATTTCCCCCTCTTTTTGTTTTATAGTATCTCCCCTTGTTATTTCCCTTGTTATTAGTATTAGTATTATATCGTGCTTTATTTTAGCTATTAAACTGTTCTTATCTCAATCCGCAGGTTTTACATTTTTTTTTCAGTTCTCCTCCCCATCCAGCCCAGGGTGGGTGGGGAGGTGTAAGCGAGCAGCTGTGTCGTACTCAGTTGCCAGCTGGGTTTAAACCACTATGCTGTACCATAGTTCGAGACAGAGTCCATGTCTGGAACTCCACCAGGTTGCCTGGTGTTATGGTCCAACCCTGGATAGTCCTTGATGCTGATCTCCACAAGTCTGTGGCTAGTGCAGTTGATTCCCCAGCCAGCACCTCACATATGCAGAAACACACCAACTTTTATCAGCTTGAGGAAGTGTATGTGCAAGGGGCTGGAAGGAGGAAGCTGGCCAGTCCATTGAGAAGCAGGAGCGAGACAGGTCTGTGACTCAGATGAGATAGTGAAAGCCCTAAACAGAGAGAGCTGGTGGTATAGTGGTGAGCATAGCTGCCTTCCAAGCAGTTGACCCAGGTTTGATTCCTGGCCAACACACCTAGAACTTTGCTTCTGATGGTGTTCAAGGTGCCTTGCTTTTCCAGAGCTGCTTGCTCAGCTTCCCACCAGTAAGGAAGCAAGCAAGCACAGAGCAGCTGCTTCACAGGGAACGCTGCTGATCGCTGTACCAGCCATGCTCAAAGGCACAGAACCCTCCTCTGCTGCTCTCCAGACTCCTGCAAACACCTCCGTGTCCCCAACCCACTCATCTTGTAAACTCCATTGTGCTACCCCAGACTGCTGTGATTAGAGCAGCACATGAGGCAGCATGGTGTTCCTGTAAGCTTGGGTGAAAAGCAACTGGCCTCTGGTCTTCCATTGTCTACCATGATACATCTGGTTTTGTTGGACAGTTTCTCTCTTCATTCCAGTTTCTCCCCCAGGGATCCCAGATAAGGTTGCTGGTGAGAAATAAATACTGATACAGTGTCAGCTGCTTGGGGTCCTGGAGAACACCCTTCTGAGATGAGTGTATTTCTCCTGCTGAGGTGGCTCCAGGCTGGGATCCTCACTGTGATGTTGGTACAGGAGCCAGAGAGAGGAGAGGGATTTTTGGTCTGGCCTAGAGCTGGACCTCCTGCTGTTGCTGCTTGCACCTAGTAAGAAAAGCATGTTGCTGTGGCAGGGTACAGATGAAGATCAACAATGCCCTGGCGGGAACCAAAGCATGCATTATGCTTAACAAGGCCAGATATGCATATCTGGGGAATCAGCGCGAGGAGGCCTGTCCTTTATGTAACGTCTCGAAGTCACACTCGAGTGAATTTGCTCTTCATCCTCCACCTTTTCCAACTCTCCAGTGCCGGCTGATCAAGTGTGGGGGTTCCTCCCTTTCAGAGGGGATGTTGGTACGTACAATGCCTGTGCTAATACCAAAGTGTTATTTCCTGTAACACGCTCTTCCCTGGAAACAGACTCTGCTAAGCACTGTAACTTGGTTTGAAATACTATCCTGAACAATCAAGACTGCATGTCTTGGAGACCAATACCCCAGCCAACCTGCAGGGCTGCTGACCTACCTTGTCCAGGCTCCCGCATTGCAGAGACAACCTGAAGTTTACTGGCATTGGGTGTAATAGTGTTCCTGGTAACTAAGAATTGAAACAACTTAATTTTTCTTGCAGCTTATGGTCTGTGGACCAAGGGAAACACAAGGAGCCTCTTAGAACTAGATTTTCTACCTGAAAGCAGGAGGATGGTTCTCTATCCTTTAATCCACTTGTACATTCTCCTGCCCCATATATTTAGAGAAAAGCATCGGATGCCCTCTCAGCCTTTCCTTCCATAGGCTAACCAAGCCCAGCTCTCCCAGCCTGTACTTGTATGACAGATGATCCAAGTCCTTAACCACCTCAGTGACCCTTTAGAAGGGCTGCCTGAGCCCCTAGCTGTGCAAAAGTGGGAATCAGCCTCACGGTCACACGTGAGGAGTCCCTGTAAGGGCATAAGGCATGCAGAAATCAACAGAAGAAGGAAACTTTGCAGAAGGATTTCCACTTTCTGCTGGGAGCAGGTTTGACCAAGAGAGGAACATGAAACAACATCATTCAGTCAGGAAAAGACATGGACCTGCCCCAAAGTTCATAAATCTCTAGCAGCAGTGAGGAATGAAAGGAATTCATGGTGCATCATTGAGGAGAGGGATGTATTATTTCCAAGACAGATCAGTGCCACTGAATCTAGTGGTTGGCTGCATGCTTGCACGTAGGACACTTTGTTTTACGCCTGAGCAACTTACGTGATTGTAGCCTCCAAAACAGCTCTGAGTAGCAAGATACATCAGCACATGCAGAGCAGGTAGCTAACTGAGGGAAGAGGAAAACAAACCACAACGAATCTCCAGCTGTGTTGCACATAGTCTTTAATCAGAAGATTAAAGCAATGTGCTGGTCCCAAGGCATGAGGGAAAGTGCCTCTGCTCAGGCTCGCAGCAAAATGCACCTGAGTCTGGAGCCATCTCAGGAGAGCAACCAGTGTTCTCCATGAGGGAGAGGCCAGTCTGGGGCGCAAGGGGACAGTGTGTCCCTGAAAGAAAGGACAGGGTTTGAAGTCAGCCTAGACTGCCCCAGCAGAGGAAGGCAGCCCAGCTTGTGCAACCCATAACAAACTGCTTTGGGTCCTCCTACTAGTTGGTCTTGCAGTTGAAGCACGTCCGCTGCCCCCTGTCATGATTGCCTCATTCGTCAAGGTCAGGAGCTTGTCTCGGAGTGCAACTGAGAGTAAGGGTATCTGGGCAAAGGCTGCTTAGTAGGAGCTACAAGGTGAGAAACAGGACAGGCCATGACTTAGAGTGGCAGATTGAGAATCTGTCCCGCATGCGGAGTTGAAAGGGGAAAACGCCAGCAGATCCCACAAGTGCAAGCACTGAACCACCGATCACTGGGCTGTGAATGTCCGCTTTGAGGTATGAGTGATGAGGATGTTAAGCTGGAAAGGTCTTCAGCAGTTTTCATCAGGCAACAGGAAGATTCTCCGGGGATACCAGCCTGTGTCTTTTGAGAGAGGGTATGCGAGGCTTGCACAAAATGCTGTGCCACTT